CATGAGACATATCAGCCTTATAAAGCACAATGGATTCTGAATATATGAGACAACTATGAAATAGAATTTTGAAATAAAATATGAGAAGATAGGTTTTGTAATATGCTTTAAGAAAATAAAAAGAAAAAATGGTGTCACCGAACTTGTTTTCTTGCTACAGGTAAAAAATGAAAATTTCACTATCATTACAGTATAAAATTTTGACTATAAGAGTTATCTCCCCGTAAATGGCTAAGTTGAAAAATTGAACACACAAATATTTGGTATAATAACTATTTGTTTAAACATTTTTGATAATGAAATAAATCACTTATTTTTCTCTATACGAATAAACAGTCTTATACATAAATTGCAAATCTGTCTCAAAATTTGCAGATTTAGGCAAAGAACTAGACCGATTGTGTACTGCTACTGTATTGTACAATCCAAGATGGCGGTATACAGTGAATCTACCTTAAACATAAAACCTTATGCAATTAGCGCGTCTGGATTAAGTTCACAAAGAACGCTCAGAATAAATATTTGAAAGCTAAGAATATATATATAAATTCCAAAATACCATAAAAAAGATATTAAAAGGATAGCCAAAAACATCTTTTTGTTAGCTGTGTTTTGTACTTTTTACCAAGCGGACGGGTCTAAGCATTTTCAACTGATTTTTAAAGTTTGTACTATTGTGATGTTAAACCATAATTCCAGGTTAAACAGAAAGTTAAGCGCAGGCGAATATGTTTAAGCCCGCAACATTCTGCGTGCATGTCCCAAGTCAGGCGCCTCTAACTCAGTGGTTGTCGTTAGTTGCTGCCTGTCATATTTGATTTTCGTTCATTGATCCAGCATGAAGGAAGCTGTAGGTTTCCTCCGTTGAACTGTTTCCCACTATGTCATGTCGGGACCATTTATAGCTTACTATATGGTATGGATTTAGCCTATTTTTTAAGCCCGTACGATGATCTATTGTTGATCACATCAAATTTCTTTTGTTTCCTATGAATAGTTGTCTCATTGGCAATCATACCTCATCTCTCCTTACTAGTATTTGTACAAGGGTTACTTTGTCTAATGAAATTGGAACTTTATTTTCTTAAAAGAGAGGCGAAATATACCAAAGGGACATTCAAACTCATAAGTCAAAAATAAACTGACAACGTCATGGCTAAAAAAGAAAAAGACAAACAGACAAACAACAGTACACAGAACACAAAACACAAAATAGAAAACTAAATACTGAGCAACACGAACCCCACCAAAAACTGGGGGTGATCTCAGGTGCTCCGGAAGGGTAAGCAGATCCTGCTCCACATGTGGCACCCGTCTTGTTGCTCATGTTAGTACAAACCCGGTTATAAGTCTAATTCGGTAGTTCACATTCGGGGAAAGGGAGACTGGATTGTAGTTACGACAATTGGAACATATCAGCTATCATCTGTGATGGCGTATGTAAAATTTAAGATGGGAAGACTTCAACTTCACCTGTTGGAACTCTTGGTTTAATAGCTTCCTTGTGAGCAGCAACCCTTTATCAAGGAAATCGTGATAGGAAATACAATTAATCATTTCAATATTGATCGACGGGAAAAAATGAATGTTATAACTTATGTATTTGGCGAACCATTGACAGCTTGGTCTAATGATAACCTCAAGCATGATTAACAGTTCATAAGCAGCGGCAACGACAAAGTGGTATAATTTGTAAAATAGCACTTTGTTAATACGGGGCGTGTGGATGTTTTGGATACATTGCGTGCTTTTGATGGTCCGATCACTTCAGTTGACATATATGATTTTTCGACTCTGAACACAGAAACTCGACTAACTAAATAGTAAAAAAAAAACATCTAAAGGGCAATATACAGTCTAAAAAATAGACAGATCTATAAATGTTGTAGTGAAATAAGTCAAAAATTATCAAAGATCTGACAAATTTCAAAATAAGAAAAACATTAAGATATGAAATGAAACGACTTCTGAAGAGGTTCCTACTTGGGACAGATACATACATATGTGGTGGGTTAAACTAGTTTTATATTCCATCCTACCCTTTTAATATAGATCAGTGGCCTAACAAAGTCCAATCAAAAGAAAACATTAAAAAAGCCGGGGGGGGGGGGGGGGATTAATAAATTTTGAAAACAATCATACACACTTAATTGCTTTCATTAATTTGGTTTTAACATCATTACTAGAAGTAAAGACATAACAAATAACCCGTTTTATACTTAGATACATTAACATCACTAATGGTTAACTTGGATATAGAATTTTGTTCCCTATCCAATATACCCTCATTTTCACAATTTCCCACCCTTCATTATGGATGACCTCTATTGCAGCACCTCCCTATTGAATTTATTATGCATTTATACTTTAGCTGATTATGCATGAAATATTTGCCACTGGACACAAAGCAAACAACAATCCATCAATGGGTATAGAAATGTGGTCAACCTGATTTGGCTGTCAAACCTATTCTGATAGAGCATTTTGACTGAAATAGATTTATAAATACACTGTTTCTTCCAGTCAGATGAGCCTGTGTAGGTTAATTTAATTGGCTGGTGTTGGTCTCCTGGTCACTTTAACTGAGCAAAATTTCTGTCTTTATCTAACTACAGTCCAAATTTCCCCACAGGTTAACTTTTTTGTTCAATTTTTTTCTTGTCCTGAAAATGTTTCAAATATTTGCCACTGAACATAAATCAAACAAGTTTTGCACCTCAAGGAAGGATAGTTATTTGGTTTCAATTGTATTATTTGGTATTAATTTGTTGTGTGCATATTGCTTATACTAAGTTTTCAATGTTAGTTTTTGTCTGTTCATTTGTTTCAACTTTTGAAACCTCAGAGCTTCAGATAGCCGAAGTAAGTAATTTAATATTGCTTGTCAACCTGAACAGATTTATTGCTTTGTCATAAATAGTCTAAGAATAGCAGGACATTGTGCAATGCAAAAATATAAACATCAACAGGATTTATGACCACAAGGGTTCATTGATGTATAGCAATACATCTCTTTGCTAAATCCATTGGATCTGTACTGATTGATTTAGTTTAAACATATTTTATTTGCTTAAATATGCAAAAGGGGTGAGACACAAGTTAATCAAACTTATAAAGTCTTCTCCCATATATACTGATTGCTATTTCAGTCTATCATGATTTCTATAATTGTTGTTATAGGCTTTGAACTACTTGTATCTTTTGTCTCATTGTTATTTGTATTCAGTGTAATTAAACGGTTGTCGTTGGTTGTTGTCTTGTAATGTTTGTATTTTGTCTATTGTTTTAGCATAAATCTCAGGTCCCTTTATAATTGACCGTATATGATGTGGGTTATGCTTATTGTTAAAGGCCATACAGTGACTATAATTGCTTACATCCACATCATTTGAACTCTGCTGGATAGTTGTCTCATTGGCCATTATACAACATCTCCTTTTTTTAAGCCTCGGCCGCTAGGCGACGAGGTCATTTGGTTTTACCCTTGTCCGTCCGTGTGTCTGTCTGTACGTTTTTCCTTACGTCCCTAAATTGGTTTCCGTTAGTTTGCCTCATCCAAATGTTATGAAACATATACACCATACTTATTGTCACCAAACACATATCAAATTCGAATTTGGGTGGCGTCACTTTTGCCGTTCTTAAGTAATGTTCCTTTATAAAAAAAAAAATTGCTGATTTGCCGTTTCAGCAATCTTACTTTCATGACCTCAATCAAAAGATATGAAATTTATACACAATGCATATTACCACCAAACACAGATCATGTTCGAAATTTTATGGCGTCACTTTCACTGTTCTCTTGGTATGAAACAAAATGTTGTTTTGCCGTTACGTAGATTCAGTCTATACATTTTGCTTTGAGACCAGAATATTGTCGAAAACATAATTAAAAAAAAAACTTGCGTTTCAGATTAAGAACGGGTCCGAGAAACTCAGAATGCACAATTTTGCGTCATTTTTTCCAGAGTTTCTGGGGGCCTTGAGCGGCCCAGACCCCTCGCCGAAATTGGCTTCGCGCGGCGAATATATTTTGCCTCACTTTTAAAAGAGACTAGTTACGGCCCTGGAATATGCATGAAATATTTGCCACTGGACGTTAGGCAACCAACAATCAATCAACCAATCCATGCCGTTTGGTCTCTGTGACTAGTTGTTTTATTATCAAACATACCACATCTTCTTATTTCTATAATGTTCTGGTGTGTGTATGATGGTGAGGTACAAGTCGAGTTCGTGTTTCGGATGACCTACTTTTCACAAAATTACAGATCTAGGATTTATAAAAATTACATTAATTTATTACTTGTTAGGCCCTCTTTTCGATTTGCCTGTAGTTAATGACTTTTATTATTTTTCTAATGTATTTGTATTCAATTGAGATTTTTCCGGTTCCGGAGACTCAGGTGTCAGGTCACCAATTTGAGCACTATAATGTAAAAGTATCCCTTCCCTGACAAAAATAGTGCTTTGGATATCATTTTTTACTAAAACTAACCAACAAATTTGCAGAAATGACACTTTTGGTGAAAGAGAAATATATTTAGACCATTTTGAGCAAAAATTTACTTGTCCATGACTTTGCATTAAAAATTGAGGATTAGTGCGCTCCATAGAACTAGTATACGGGCTTATTTAAGATTTCCAGAATATCTGGGGTTATTTTTAGTAGTAGTTGTCTTCCGAACGGTCGTATTTCATTACAAGACTTTAAACATTGTTTGAAAATTGGCATGTAGAAAGGTAATACATGTACAATTCAGGATTTACTTGGTTTCTATGAAGTTTAACTTCAAATAAAATATTAAGAAAGCTGTGGAAATTGAAAAAAAAAATGGTTGTATAAATAAGGATTTTGAATTGGTGGCCTGCCACCTTACATCTTATGTGAGACAGGTCCATTCGTGTCGTTCCTAATTCCATTTTGACTTCTCATTCAGAAAATTGAATATAAAAACAGTGATGAAAAATATATAAAATTTAATATAATACAAAAAATCTTATCGTCGTTTATTACAAGAAAAGATTCGAAAAAATGCATGAATGTTTGCTGAAATTGTGTTTTTCTTTCCGCCATTGGTGGTACCCATTTTATTAATGTTTTCCTTCTTAATATCCATAGTTTGGGGTTCTTTCTTCTGTTCATCTATGTTTTTCTCTGCCTCTTTATTTTTTTTGCTTTTCTTCATACCATTTTGTCTAGCCTCTATAAAATCTATAGTTTGAGCCTCTTTCTTCTCATGACCCTTATTATTCCCTGTCTCCTTCTTTGTTTTGCTTTTCTTTATATCATTGTGTTTTTCCTTTACAACTATAGTTTGGGCCTTTTTCTTCTTTTCATTTTGTACACATTCTTTCTCCATCCTCTTCATTTCTATAAACGGAAGTTTTGAAATTAAATAAGTTCATGAAGTTTTAAAATCATAATAGAAAACAAGAAGAATTGTTATGTTGTTCAACTAATTGATGAAAAGATGAAAGACCATGCAAAGGATTTTTGTTTTACTTCATTCAACATTTAATCAACATTGAAGCAACACTTAAATTGTCTTTAAATATTGAACGAAAAGAGTCAGCGTCAGATGCAAAGTAGAAAACCGTATTAGCGATTGGACAATTGTTTTGAATGCGTATTTTTTGTTTGTTTTTTTAATGTTTCATTAGGGTGTAATAGAAAAAATTACAAGATATCGAATTTATAAAAGTGTTGACTTTAGTATATGAATATCGGAAATTAAAAAAACTTAGGTAATGCATGATTATATTTAGTAGTTAAAAAATGAGCAAAATAATGCCGGGTTGAATTAAGCGTTTATATTTTACTTTGTTTGATTTCTTTTAATAATTGTCATGTGTTGGTTGAAGTCAGAATGCTCGTCCTGTTAAAGGCATTCATTTAGGATCGTTCAAGGAAAAGAATGCAGAAAGTGGACATTTCCATAAAAAGATACCTTTCTCCAACATCTTTTGAGCTTTTCTCTCCGTCTTTTCCATCTGCTTTCTCCTCTTTACTTCCTGCTTCCGTTGTAATATCACACCCTTTGTGTACCTTTTCATAATCTTGTCTACCCTTATAAAGTACAACTGAACAACCTTTTCCTCTTCTTTAGCTATTTTCTCTCGTAATTTCTCTTCTTTCTTCATTTTTCTTTTTTCCCTCTTTTTGTCCCTTTTCGTTTGTTTGCTAATAGCTCCATTAAGTTCAGAATTCTGGACTGTATCCTATAAAAAATACACATCGTTCATGCAGTTCAACATGGTATACTTTGACATGTTCGTTTGGGAAAAATATCTATAAAACATATCTCATAAAACATAAAAAAACATAACAGGAAATACCAAAATATTGGACAGAACAACAGATCACACCCACGTGATCATACCAACCATCATCGCCTCCCTACCCCGAACCAATAAACGTGCAAACAAAGACAAAGAAGAACGAACAACACATGGTCAAGACACCCAGCGGCTTTTTTCACAAAAAAATCTTAAAGATCAATTTTAATCGTAAGATATTTTGTGAAAAGAGTCGCAGACTTGGTAAAACCACAACATGTGGTGAGGTTAAACCAGTTTTACTCATAAACCTCCTTATTTGCCTATCCTATAGACAATGAGTCGTAAAAGTAAAACACATGGGTAAAAAACTTTACTGTACAGCCACCTACAGGATGACCACTAATAAGGATAAAAGACGGCACATAATTCGGAAAGCAGGATCAAAATATTTTACTTCAGGACGCTAGCTATAACAGGTTTCATTGGTTGTATTTGTTAGTGGTATGTTTCTTTAGCACTTTATATTAGAATCCTATAATTGTTTTTGCTTACAGTGGCATAGCTAGGCCATTTTTAAGTGTACGCCCGAACCTCATCGAGGGGTTTGAGGTCAAGAACAGAAGACCTCCTGGTTGGGGGCGAAACCCCCCTGATGTTCACGCGTTATTGAGAAAGAGATACCAATATCTGTCATTAAAAACTCATCAATAGCAACATACTTGGTCGGTTAAGAACAAAACTTTACGACAAAGGAGATGATTTCAGTCTCCAATTGTGAACTTTTATTTTCTATATAGCAACATTCCAGTAGCACCTGCATATGGAGTATATACATGCCAGTTGATAAGATATTCCAGAGCTTGCATTTCCTATCATCATTTCCCTGATAGATAGTGGATGCTTACAAGGAAGCTACTGAACCAAGAGTTCCAAGTGGTGAAGTTGAAATCATCCCTTCGAAAATTTTACGTTCGACATAACGAGTAGGTTAATGACGACGGATATGTTCCAATTGTTGATATTACCACAATCCCGTCCTCTTTTCCTCTAATGTGATCTACTGAATTAGACTTATCACTGGGTTTACACACGTTGAGTAGAATTTGGTTACCCTTCCGAAGCATCTGAGATCACCCCCAGGTTTTGGTGGGGTCCGTGTTGTTAAGTCTTATGTTTCTATGTTGTGTTTTGTATACTGTTGTTTGCCTTTTCATAGTTTTTCGTTTTTTGCCATGTTATTGTCAGTTTATTTCAACTGATGAGTTTGAATATCCCTTTCGCGTCTCTTTTAGAGTCTAATTTGTTTCTTTACAGTTAAATTTATTCATTGTATTGATTTGGAATATAATGATAATGTATTTAAGAGAAAAAATGCCCAAAACAGTTGCTTAAAAACGTGTTTAAAAGCAATCTAAAATATATATCTATATTTACTCGGATGCTCGTATCTTATGAGTATAACGAAGTCAGAGATATGTATTTCAATTAGATTGGTTTAAAAGGAGACGTGGGGTAAACAATCAACCGACAAAAAATCAAAACTTGATATAGAGATAGTCAAAAAGCAAGTCTCCATTTCAATGTTGTCGTTCTATTATTTTTTTTTTACCTTATAGATCTAGTTTACTCACCTTTTTACATTCAAATTTTGTTAATGGACATATGTTCTAATTAATTTTCATAGATGGGCAGGTGTAACGTAAAAATAAGTGTTGAACTGTAGCATAAAAATGCAAGCCACATCGTATCTGACCAGATAATGAATTGCTTTAAACAATAGTAAACTGAGTAGAATTCACAGTAGATTGAGACTTCGACAGAAAATGAAAATATATATATATATATAAAATATGAAAACAACACATTATTAATTTCATGGGTTTGAAGCGCTTTTCTGGATTTACCTTCATCAGGAACGTTCAAAGCCGAATATTTTAAAGCCGATGATGTATAAGAACCGAAACAGTTACAGAGCTACATGTATATTACCTAAAAGTACCTAATAAATCATATGATACCATTTGATTAAAAAGTATATTTCGTCACTTTGTCTTTTATCTCCAATTACAAGTCATTGAAGAAAAAAATACAAGGCTCGTGTGCTTTTAATCAGTTCTTATAATTTATTCGGGTTCAAATTTTTTTTCTTCAAAATTTATGTGTACGCCCGGGCGTTTTGACGTAAACGTAGCTACGCGCATGTCTTAGGGTAAACAAATACATACCATTTACCCTAGCTACAAATTTTTAAAGTTGTAATATTTTTCTTTTTATTGTGACGTTGTTGCTTTGTCCAATACTTTTCAATCAAGTTATGAAATATTTATGCTGGACATTATCAAATAAAACTGGCAATCAATCAATCACTGTAAAATCTTTCATCAAATAATAGCATTTAATTGTCAAAACGCTTGGTATTTCAATAATGTGCAATTAACGAACAACGAATAAATCCTTTGTAGCAAGGCTTTACCGGTTAATTATGAAATGAATTGACCACACTTACTTTTTTCCTTAAGAAAACTTGTCCATCGAATAGGGGAAAACCATCCTTAATAAAACGAAAACTTGGATTGATTGATTGATTGATTGCTGTTTCCTTTACGTTCAGTGGGACATTATTCGCGCATATTCAGGACAGATAAAACTTGATAGATACAATTAGAATAACCTTTCGCTTGTTGTAAAGGGCTTGTTCTTCCGCTCATTCATTTCATTTAAATATATTTTATTTGTTATTACATATAACAAAAAGGATCAGACACAAGTTATCACAACTTAGATAGCCCTCTCCTAAATATAATAAGTTATAATATATAGATATAAAGACATGTAACAACAACATTAGATAATTATAGATTTGTACAATAGTTATAGAAAAAAAAGAAAGTTCACAATTTCCCAAAATAATAAACAACAGTCCTACGTCAAAAAGCTTATCCATCGACATACTAAACTATATCAGTTAAAAAAAAGAAAAATATCTTTCTAAAGGTCAAACCGTTCACTTTTCCCAATAAAATGCAAGACTTCTTTAATTGAGGATGTATTTTGACTAAGAGTTAAATTTTCGTTTCCATTTAGTAAAGTACCAAGACGTAAAGACGGAACAAAAAGTAGTTTGTCTAAAAGGTGAGTTCTGATTTGCGCATAAAGTGGACATTAAAAAAAAATAAAACCTGTCTTCAGTCAGACTGCCGCACCGACAGCTTTGATAATTTACTATATTGAATCTAAAAAGGTCATAATTTAGAGTTGAACATGCATGTCTAAGCCTTGTTAATATAATGTTTGCCTTACGTTCTCCAACATACAAGAATTTTGAGGCTTTAGATTGATGTGATTTCTTTCGTAGGGAATACTTAAATTTGGAGATTGAATCTTCATTTCTAATTGCGCTATCGATTTTATTCCATTGCCTTATAGTATTGGGAAAATATGAATTTGTTGTTAGTTCTAATCTACAAAATGGTACTATGAGGTCAGGGTTGTTTCGAAGAATATATCCAGAAATAGTTGATACAGAAGGTGGTATTAGTGTTCGTAAATAATTAGGAGCTTGTCCATTATAAATTTTGTAGAATAAATGAAGTTTTCTTTGGTTTCTTCTATCAGACAAAGGTTCCCAACCCGTTTCAGAATATAAAATTTCACTGTTGCAATAATAAGGCATGCCTGTAACAATTCTTGCAGCTTCAAGCTGAAGTTTTTCCAACAGTTCAGTACTATCAACACCACAATTATCCCATACTTCGCAACCATACTTTGATACTATATATGCCCTTGAATTTTTACTAGATAACATTTTTGTTCGCTTTGGAATATCCGTATATCGTCAGGTTATCGGAATTCCAATGGGGACTAACTGTGCACCACTTATTGAGGACCTTTTTTTGTATTGCTATGAGTTACAATTTATGACAAAAATCAGCAAAGACCCATCGAAACAACATCTGATACACAAATTCAATAATACTTTTAGATATTTGGATGATATTTTGGCTCTCAATAATGACTTTTATCCTGTTGAACTTACTTTAAATAAAGCTAATACTAACAATGACCACTGCCCTTTCCTCGATCTTTATATCTATATCATTAACGGAAAGCTTAATACTAAAATATATGATAAAAGAGATGATTTTTCATTTCCTATCGTTAATTATCCATTTTTAGATGGTGACGTTCCCTTGTCACCCTCTTACGGTGTTTATATATCTCAACTTGTTCGATTCGCTCGTGTATGTAACAATGTTTTAGATTTTAACGAGAGAAATTTATGTATTACTGAAAAATTATTACACCAGGGTTTTCGATATCAAAAATTAGTCAAAACATTTACTAAATTTTATCATCGGTATAAGGACATCATTCGTAAATATAGCTCAACATGCAGACTTCTTATACGTTCAGGTATTTCACATCCAATTTTTTATGGAAATATTCTTTATAAAGCACAAAAATGTCAGTATTCACCTCTGAAGCTAACAAAACCTTTAAATAGACTTATTAAGAAGGGATATAGTTACGATACTGTTGTCAGGTCATTAAAGATTGCATATTTTGGCGTTAATATTGATTCACTTATAGGGTCTTTGCATCGGAACTAAGCACATTTATTTAAAAACCAGTTGTTGGCATGACACGGGTTATGTTCTTCTCAAATATGTTATGATGGTATGATACTAAACCCCTAACGGGAAGGATTGTGTCTGATATTCATATGAGGAAGACGTAATCTTTCAATCAGTTTAATTGAAGTCTGGAGCTGGCATGTCAGTTAACTGCTAGTAGTCTGTTGTTATTTATGTATTATTGTCATTTTGTTTATTTTCTTTGGTTACATTTTCTGACATCAGACTCGGACTTCTCTTGAACTGAATTTTAATGTGCGTATTGTTATGCGTTTACTTTTCTACATTGGCTAGAGGTAT